CGAGATCAACGATACAAAAAAAGGAACCCCGATCAACCCCGCGAGGCATCGGACGATGCTCGAGATTGCCCAAAAAGGTTCGGAGGCCCCGTAGAATTACTTGCTGGTAAGTCTCAACCCACGGAATAAACTTCCACGTGATTCCGCGAAACCTCTGGGGAGGTTCAGGATTTTCCAAACCCCGCGTAACCCTAAAGTAATTATCTATTGACGGTTTAAGGGGTGATCGGTACTTTGAATTATCGTAATAGTCCATTGAAGGGCCGTTTATTATACCCCAAACGGGCAATCCACAGAGAAAATCCGTGGAGAGCGCCTGAAGAAGGCGTTGAAAGAGAGAGAGAGAGAGAGAGATGGGGATAGCGCGCGAGAGAGACAGCGCTACGCTCAACATGCATTGCGCACATGAGGGTCAGTTTTTAACGGTTTTAATACCCAGCGCGGTAACGGGTCAACGATCGAGCCCGAATAAACTCCACCACCAAGGGGGATAACTCGTGCACACCCTCCCAAAATTGGGGATTTTCACCGCGTACGTGGATCGAGATATCCCCGTTTGTCGGAACGGAATTTTCCAATGCCGTTGAGCCAGACTTCTCGCTCAACGGTAAGCGGAGCGTAGTGGGAGAAATAACCAAGGCCTCGACGACACGTATGCGATTCAAGGCCAAGCGGGAAAAATCCTCACCTTCCACGGGGGTTTTCGACGGGTTCACCCGGGATTTTTACGATCACAGGCGATCCGCTGTGGTTTTCGAGTAAACCATGGCCGAAAAACACGCACAGACACCTCAACGGAGGGAAGACGTCGTTCGATCCATTGATCGAAAGGGATAATTTTCACTCGCGAATCACAAAACGAGTCTCCAGTAATCGGGCTGACTGGGAGAATTAATTGGAATATTCTCTCACCTTGGCACGGGACTGGTGCACGGGGTGGGATCCCCCAATGCGTCCTTTTTCTTCCTCGCGAACAAACTCTCTTAGTGCCTTCGTGTCCTGGCGATAACTCGCAAAAACATGGCGGAGCTCTTGCCTCGCCAGAGCGTTAGTTTGTAACACTTTTCCCCGATTTCGTCCCGAAGATCGGCAATCGTTATTACCTTCGCCCGTTCCCGTGCTCGCATCCCAAAATCCAACCGAATTACTGCGGGCACCAGCTAGCTTTTTATGGGCCAAAAGCTAACGAAAACCGAAACGAAGGCAAGGAGGGGAGGTGCCCTGCCTTGTCCGAGATCAGCCGACCTCATCGAACCTAAACTCCCGAAATATCCAAAAAAACAAGAGCACGAAAGGACAGGACGAGTGGGGTTGGAACTCGTCCTCGCGATAACACAAAATCCGTAAATCCATAAACCCAAAAAACCGGGGAGTCCGTACTCCCAGAACTAAAACGATAACCTCATTACCGTAAAACTACCCGCGAGAAGCTAGAAGCCGATGACGAAAGGAACGGAAGCGGGAAGACCTGGGCTGCTCAGGATGCTAGGTCGTGGAGAGAGGGCCAGGGTCCACGGATACGCGACTCTAATAACCGAAATCTAGACCGAAAAATAATACAGCGAACAGACCGTGGTTCGGGATACCGAGAGCATACTTGCGGGGTTCTGGGACGCTGGGGGCGACCTCTGAGAACACCTCGCCGAGAGCGTGCCGTAAGATAGCGAAGTGCCGGGAGGCCGAGAGCGTGGAGATTACTCACCCAAAAGCACACCATCGAGAGCGTGCTGGGCCCACTAGGGTAGCCCCAAATTTAGAGAGCCTAACTGGGGAGAGGATGACTTTCACCCAGAGAACGTCACTAGGAAGAACATGGCTCTCACCTAGAGAACACCACCCGAGGAGAGTATTGCTCTCACTCAGAGAATGTTCCCGGGGAGAGGATGATCCTCACCTAGGGAGCGTAGAAGACCAATGCTGGGCATTGGGAGCCAGCTACGGGCTCGAAAGATAGCTGCCAGTGGTCCGCACTGGGAGTCAGCCGAAGCGGCTCTGCCGAGTAGGTGGGCAATGTCAGCAGTAGTGCCGATGTACCCCCACTCTCGACTACGGCTGGGTGAGCTGCCGTGTGCCGGGACGTGCTGCCCTCGCCGCAGGGAGGATATCCCTGGCATTAGCCTCTCCTGGAGCGCGCCGAATTCGAGCGTCGCCACTGACCCCTTCGAACAACCCCTTCGAAGGATCAGCCGCTCGAATGCCTACCCCATCTAACATGGAGCGCTCATACGCCAGTATGAGTCCTATGCTTTATGCCAGCAAGTCACGTAGGGGAGCTGGGAATGTTTCCCCATGTCCGCCCTGTGCCGTTGCCTATCCTTAGGCCTCCTAACACCCTAAGCACTCGGGCCCCAGTCCCCACCTTCCTCGACGATTCGAGTAATTCCCGGGAGAGAGTCGAGATGGCAGAATTTTAGGGAACTTAACCCAAAGTTTAGTTTAATGTGCGGGATTTCCAAAAATCCCGTTACAAGTTTTCGTGGGTTAGCTGCGCCGGCGCCGGCGTCCCTCAGCGTACTAAATCTCCCTATTCAAATTTGAATGAGGGAAAATGAATCTCCTAGTTTTAACCCTTGAGCGCGATTATCGCGGCTAGTCTTCCCGGTTGGCTCCCCGGGGATCCGTGGACAACAATTTTTACCTAAAAACACCCTACGCGACCAACACAATCGGCAATTCAGTGGAGTGCTGGTCGTGAAACCCTTACGGACCTTCCACCCTTAAACGTATTTTAAAACACCTCACGGATCTCTCCCATTGGGGTGCTGACACCCGCAGTCAGGCGGTTCATCCCGGGAAGATTTCGCGAACGGAGTTCCTCCAGCCCACGCCGGATGATAATTTTGATTACCCTTCTTCGCGGCGCGAATCATACCGTGCATTATTCCCTAACCCTAACCCCTCCTAAAATTGTCCGAATGGGAACCCTCCCATAATTTCTCTCCGCACTAGGCGTAACCTCAGGTCGATTCGGGGAATTTCACGGAAATTCTGTTATTAATTAAATTATTCGTTTTTTTTCCTGTTCTCTCCACAATTTGTGAGACCATCAGCTTGGCGCGGTTCTCTCTCTCTCTCTTGCGCTCCAGAATAATTGATGCACGTCACAAGTCCCACAAGAAGGAAGGATCAGCCACACGAAAAGGACCAGCCACGCACGAAATGAGACAGACACAAAAAAAAACTATTATTTTCCCAATCAACAAGAAAAAATTGACGTTCATAATTTAACTACTAATAATAGAAAAGAGCGCGGAACTGAAATTTTGGTTGCGTATATTTTCGTGATTTATGTATTTTTCACCTATCAATTAAAGTGAAATTCCAATTATTTTTCGAATTACAATCAATCAAGCTATTGCGGTTGGGTTGATTGAGCAGTTCTTGATTGTTAATTATCGCGATTTCCAATTATTTAGCTATTTCCAAAATCAACTAAATTTAATTGTTATTCAATTTTAACAAAAATGTGGAATAATTAATCATTGCGATCCTAATTATTTTTCAAAATAAAATCTATCCTATTCTTATTGTAATTTGATGATAGAAATTCTTGATTATTAATTATCGCGATTTCCCATTATTTAGTTATTTGCAAAATCAACCAAATGTAATGCTTATTCAATTTTAATAAAAATCTTGAATAATTAATCATCGCGATTCAAATTATATTTCAAAATTAAATCTATCAATTTTTATTGAGGTTCGATTGATAGAAATTCTTGATTGTTCATTATCGCGCTTTTCAATTATTTAGTTATGTCCAAAATCAACTTAATTTAATAATTATTCAATGTTAACAAAGTTCCGTATTATTGATCATTGCGATTTTTCTTGTTTCAATTATTTTTAGAATTAATTCCGAATTATCAATTATCTCAGTTTTGCCATTATTTTTCTCCCAATTTAAATAGCTAGTCAACTGACTCTATCGTTTTTCTAAAGGAAGGAAAGATCAGAGGATAACTTATTCCATTTATTTATTATCTGCAAGGACAACACAAGAAGAAACATTTTATAATATTCATTACAAACGTTCAAATTTTTAAATCCAATATTGTCATTTCATGTCAATTAAGGATGGTCGAACCAATTGAAAGAAATTTAATATGAAAATTGAAATTCCTTACGCAAGAGGAAATTAATAAATTTTTGTTAAACAATTTAATTTCTACTATTAAAATCCATTGTTCACGAGAAGATCCCTCCGAAAAGTAATTTGTTTAAATTATATAAAAATAAAAGAAAATTTTCATCATAGCGGGACTAATTTCCTCGGTTTCCTGTTAGATCTATCTATGTACAAAAAAGAATAAAAGTTCCTGAACAAGAAGTAGACTGTCATCTCTTATGCGATTCCTCCAGGCAGGATTCCTTACTCAGATCTCCAGCTATTTCCGAAAGGTAAGCTTAAAACAGGAGAACTTGATACTCATAGTTTTGCATCGTTTATTTGATAATTATTATCGAATATTCGATGAAAAACATGACGTGACAAATATAACTACTTTTTTTTTATTTCGAAAAAGTGTATGAAATCTATTAAAGAAGGCAAAAATTAATTTTTGTAAAAAATGGCGAAAAATAAAGTTTTGTTCAGTGGCGCGGATTCTTCCACATCGCTGTTTCTGTTCAACTTCATAGTATTAAACTCCATCGAAGTAAGGAACCATAGAAGGTAGAAGTGGAGAAAGATTTCGATATGTGGGTAACCAAATGACGTGGTGCCTGACATTTTTATTTTTGTAGTGTATTTTGAAGTGTTCGTATCAGAGGGCCGAATTAGGGAAAGAGGGTTCCGTGACGCTGCGAAAATCACGTCCCAACATAAAAACAGGCAATATAACATATATAAATTTTGCTTCTCAGCAGTTCAATCATAAACTATATACTGGTATTTGGTCAATACCACGGTTGTGCAAATTCGGTTCTCTGTGCATCCAATTTATTCTAACAGTATATTATTTTCATAAAGCATACTATATTTATGTTAATTAACTCACTAAAAATCCATGTCCATATTGTTGCTTTGGACCAATTCATGGCTAACAAATAAACTGCAAGAATATGTAGCACTGTAAGAGCTATTATATTTCTCCATATGAGTGGCTGCTTGATGCGACTTTCGCGCTGTAATGATGTAGGTTCTGAAGATATTTCTTCTGGTAAGGTTTCTTGCATTCCTTCAGTTTCTGTCATTGTTGAAATGTTTATGACCTGGAACCCATAAGAACCCGGTGAGAACTTTAGATATCAGTATTACATGAGCGGGGCCTCTCGGAAGACAGAACGAACCGCATAAGCAAAGTACTCGGCACGCACAACGTCCGAACCATGTTCCAACCTCCAAAGAAGATTGTATAAATGCTGCCAAGTGCAAAGGATCCACGACGAGTCTTAAGCACACCAGGAGTGTACGAGATCCCTTTGTAATGGATCCAAGCGGACGAGTTCGTTGATAGGGATAGATCACTCGTAGATAATTTAGAAATCAATATGTCTCAGGGAGAAACAATTCCTTTTGGAATTGAACGATTTATTACATAAATAATATCTTTTGACTGATCCCATGGATATCAGGCATTATAAATTACAAGATAGTGATGTAACGGATGGTCATATTAGTAATCGACTGTGTCTGACGAGCTGACTGATGAGTTAATGATATTCTTTAATTTAATGGTTTTCCTGGGGCATAACACCCTGCTCATGTGGAAAAGTCCACACAGGGGACTGCCCTCAGAATTGGAGCTCTTTGCTCTGAAGATGCAAACTGCAACATTTGTAAAATCTATCCGGAAGCCAACTGTAATAACAATTATGCCCACGAGAGCCTCAAATCTGAAATTGAATATCTCATGTGTCATATTGCGTATATTTTGTCCTCCATCGAATAATGAATAAATATATGCACACCGACGTAACTTAGCGAATTCACCGAAATGTTAGGCGCCAGGACGTTTGCATGAAAACAGGTAGAAATCAAAATGAAAAATTGGGGACCTTGATTGATCGATCGCTACGCACGCTTCACCCACATATGCGCCTGTCGAGGATGCTCGGTAGTGCATCTGATCTATTTAGGATCGAATCAATAATTTCCCGACCAATTCTCAACAAAATTGCCGAGGCAATCATTGTGATTAACTGATGAGTCAAAAATCTGAAAAAACAGTATCAATGGAAGAAAAAATCATGGGTGTTGCAAGCGACGCACGATGGAAGTGAAACTTCTAGTATGCCTCTCTTTCTGCTCATTTTAAGAGAGAGAACTTTCGTCAGTGGCTCCCTCACCTCAGTCAACGAAAACGGTGAGAGAGCGATAGTGAACGGTGGGCGAAGGTGGGGGTGCGGGTCCCCAGGAGACCGGTTACCTATATCTCGCCATGACGTTTTTTGGTGACGATCTTGAATCGGTTTTACTCCGGTCGTCGAAAATTCATAACATGTATAAAGAACTTTCATTTTAAAACATCGAATCAATTGCTGAGACGTTTTTTTTCAGTTTAGTCAAAAAGCATGGCGAGGCGATCATTTTGATGACCTAATGAGGTCTAAGTTCTATAAAAACATTTTGACCACCGAAACTAAAAAACGCCTGAGTCAATTTCGTCTCAAATTTGTTCCGGTCTACTGTGCTCCCATAGTTACAAATTGAGTGGAAATAATTCATGCAAACGGCCGTAACTACATACGCATTCAGGACACATGTCATTGTAATTTGCGTCGAGAAAATAGACCATTTATCTGGAGAATAAATGTTGTTTGAAAGTTGATCGATTTCAAAGAATGCCAAAGAATTACCAAGTGGATTACTTCCAAAATTCCCTAATTTATGGTTATACTTAATATGCTTCATATTAAGATTCATTCTTTCTCACCAAAAAACTGGAAAATCGTTAGGTACGGAGAAATTTTTTCGTTAAAACGACTGTTTGAGAACGCGTTTGTTATTCGTTTCCGTTCTTTAGTCAAAAAACGTAACCAAAGAAGAACGTTCTCACAAACACTGAAATTAACAATGAAAGTATTATTGTTCAATCCAACTTCAAAATCCAACAACCAAGTTCCAACGTTGTTCAAAAACACAATTATTGGGAACGTTCTCGCAAAGAACGAAATTGTGAGAACATTCCTGCACGAACGAACTTAAAGAACGACAATATTGAGAACGTTTCTCTTAATGGAGAACAAAAGAGCATTCCCAGAAAGAACGGTTCAGAGCGAAAGGGAAATCTGCCAAAACCTACGGAACGCTCTTGATCATGAAATTTCATTCATCATGTACGTAAAACAATCTGCTGATTATCTTCATAAAAAATTGGCAATATAGTTGAAGGGCGTAGTTTTACCAAATGGCCACAAGAAGGTCTTTATTAAATAAATGTGATAAAATATGAGGAGGTTGATGAGTAGGGTTGAAATAACTTATACAGGAAGTTATGGGTACAAATTATTAATATACTTATTCATTATTGTTTTCAATACATTGTGTATTCGGTGTGTGGTATGAGTCAGCCTCAAATGATTACGTCACCTTGTGTGTCTGACTTGGCTCACCTTATATTCAGGACTGAATCAAAGATAAATCGGAGCGCGCGATAACAACACGTATATATCTATATACATGTGTGTATTCTTTAATATACATATAAGTTTGATTGTAGTGCTCGCATGAGAGCAGTGGTGCTCAATCCCAGCTAAATTTATTCTCGATATTTTAACACGCCTCCTTAAATTTAGCTGTCTCTCATTTTAATACTTTTGTTACTTGATACAAATTAAGTTTGTCTCTCAATTTTTCGAATTTGATTCGTCCTAGTGACTTAGTAAATATGTCAGCTGTACTTTCTTCCGAGTCGATTTTAATTACATCAATTATACCGTTCATATAATTCTCATTTACAAAGCGATAGTGTGTCTCTATATATTTTGAATTTTTTGTTAAATTGCCATATTTACTTATGCTGATAGCGCCTGAATTATCCTCGTAAATTTTAATTGTATCTTTGATCTCTATTTTCAAATCTTTTATAAGTCTTTTATCAATGTAATCTCACTCACACATACAGACAATGCTACATATTCAGCCTCTGTTGATGATTTTGTTACAATGTCTGGTTTTTTAATTTCCAGAAAATTGTATTTCCGTACATTTTAATTATGTAGCCAGTCGTAGATTTTCTATCACTTGGATCTCCTGCCCAATCTGCATCAACACAACATTCCAGTCTTTCAGACTCATTATTTTTTTTATATTTTAATTTCAATTTTTTTGTATAATATAGGTATTTTAAAATTCTTAATGCATATTTATAATGACTATGATCATAGCAATTTTGGAATCTACTCAGATAATTTACACAATAATACATATCAGGTCTTGTGCATGAACTAATATATAATAACGCGCCGATTAAATTTCTATATTTGATATCATTTACTACTGATACTGCTTTTTGGCATTTTAAAGTTTGTTCCATAGGAGTGGCATACAATTTTGCATCTTCGATTTCGTATCTTTTTGCAAGTGATTCAATGTAATCTTGCTGATCTAAAGTTATATAATCATTGTTATGATCATAATCAATATTTATACTGAGGTATGTTCTTATTTTTCCCATATCTTTCATTTTAAATTTGTTTGTTAGTTCTCGTTTGATTTCATCTATCAATTTTCGGTTCTTACTACAGATTAGCATATCATCGACAAAAATTAGCAAATATATTCTATCCTTCTCCTTTTCCATAAAATATAAGCAATAATCGATTTTACTCTTTTCGAATCCCATATCACCAAGATAATTGTCTAAGCATTCATACCATGCTCTTGGGCTTCCACGCAGTCCGTATAGAGCTTTTTCTAATAGACATACTTTACGGCTTTTATCATCATAGCCTTGAGGCTGTTTTACATATACTTTAGTTTTAATTTTGCCATTTAGGAACGCTGATTCTACATCCATTTGATCAATCATCATTTCATTATTAATACAGTAATTTATTAATATTTTTAAAGTCTGTGTGCGAGCTACTGGCGAGTAGATATCATCAATGATTTCTCTTTGTTGACACACTCGAGCTACAATTCTAGCTTTAAATTTATTGCCCCCTTTTTTTGTATATACCCACTTTAAATCTATAATTTTTTCACCTTCTGGCCTTTTTACTAGTTTCCACGTATTGTTCTTATTCAATCATTCGATTTCCTTGTTCATAGCTTCTCGCCAATACTCGCTGTCACAGCTACTAACTGCCTCGTCATATGATTCGGGATTATTAACACTGACATAATTTACATAAACACAATTTGTTATTGGATTTCCGAATCTATTTACTGGACTTTTTTTCCTTTCTGATCTTCTCGGTATAGTTATATTCTTTTCTCTATCTCGATTCCCAGGTGAATTTTTTTTCTTTTACTTCTTCGTTCATATAATTTTCATCTTGATCTTCACTTTCATTATTTTCATTTTGAATTTTAATTTCTTGATTATTACCTTTTTTTATATCTGGATTCTGGTCAATTTCATCAATCTCATTAAAGCCAATTAATTTTTCATTTTGTTCGACAATAGTTACATGTCTTGCAATTGTTATTTTGTTATTAATTATGACTCTATAGCCTACTTTTTCATATCCCACTAGGATACCCAAATCTGCTTTTCGATCCCACTTATTTATTCTTTTCATTTCGGGGACTCGAACGAACACTCTACTTCCATATAATTTCAGATTTTTAATGTCTGGTTTCTCTCCCATCATTATTTCATATGGCGTTTTATTTTGTGATGTGTTTGCTAATGTTCGGTTTTTTAGATAATCCGAAGTTTTAATTACTTGTGGCCAAAAACGATTATGAATTTTGGCATCGGCTAACAGGCATCTTGTTGTTTCCATGACTGAGCGGTTGTATCTCTCTGCAGTTCCGTTTAATTCATGAACATACGGAGGACACGGCTCAATGAGTATTCCTTTTTCTTTCGCAAACTTATACATTTCTTTGTTCAGAAATTCTTTCCCATTATCGCATCTTAGTCTATTCATCTTTTTTCCTGTTACATTTTCTAATTGATTTACGTACGTTACAAAGCAATCATAGACTTCATTTTTTCCTTTAATTGGGTATACTTTTGCAGCTTTACTAAAATCATCGATTATTATTAAAAAATATTTTTCACCCTTGAACCCGACTGTATTATGTGGGCCGTTTACAT